CTACTACTACTACTACTACCATTACTACTACTACTACTACTACTACTTCTGCTACTAGTGCTACTGCTACTACTACTACTACTACCATTACTACTACTACTACTACTACTACCACCACTACTACTGCTACTATTATCACTACTACTACTACTACTACTACTACTACCACTACTACTACTACTACTACTACTACTACTACTACTACTACTTCTCCTACTCCTACTCCTACTCCTAATCCAACTCCTCCTCCTGCTGCTGCAGCTGGTACTTCTGCTTCTGTTATCAGCGCCTCTTCTGCTATCCTTGTCCCTGCAACTCGTCAGTCGCTCACCATTCTGACTGTTTTCAGAGCCCTGATAATCTTTGTCTAATTTTCGGACTGGCGTCACGGTCGTTAGTCGGTCGTGCCTTAGCTCGCGCAGCTGACGACGGCGTTTGTGGGGCATTCTTGTGAAAATGAATGGACGAGGGTTTGCTGTTGACAGGTGTACGGTGGAGTCATCGAAGGCCAAACTGTTGGACAATATGATTGCTTGTGGCAGTTCTCATACGAGAGCCAGTCGTGGAACCTTGGATGAGTTGAGGAAGTGTTTGGCATTTTCGTCTTCATTTGCAACCAACACTGTGAACACACGGGCTCAACACTGAATGACAACTTCCTGCTTGCACGCTGTCGGCGCCTAAGCCCGGGTAGTCATTCGCAGGACGAACACTCAAGATTGCCAAGACTCGGAGGGAGATGTGGAGGCTTCTCTCTACGGTTCCGCGGTTCTGGATCAATGCCGTAAGAGGATGCTGTGCGGATCTTAGAAAGTTTTTTTTGTTGCCCAGAAGTCTTTCGGAGAAGTAGCAGGTAGACCCGGCAGTAGACCTCAGATCATGATTACTACCATGAGTCTGATTCCCAGACAGCTCAGGATTCTCTTCTACGGACTCTTGGTCTATCCCTTTTATCAATACGGACTTGAGGCCTAGCGGGCACTGGCGGGTCCTACGGCCCAGCTCAGGTGGTGTTCGCGGTCTGCACACCCGGGCACCACCACACAACAAAACACGCTACAAACTAGTATAGTGCATGGAATGATATTATATTATAGTACGTTCTATTACAGTGTCTTACATGACATTATATTATATTGTATAATAATTATGATCTATTATGTTCCTGTGAAAGAGGTTCCCAGTTTTGTTCAGGAGCTCCCAGAGTTGCCGAGAGCCAAGGGCCAAGGGCAGGGAGCTGACTTCCCCAAAGGGTCCAAGTATTAGTATGGTAGGGTTTAGGGTTTAGGGTAGCTACTTTGTAGGTATTTGGGCCCCAAAAGTATGTACCATACTATAACTTGGACCCTTTGGGTTCGTGTTAGGTGCTGGGAGTCAGTGGATTTTGGCAACTGCCAGTAAGCGCAGAAGCACACCGCAGCATAGCATAGTGCATGAAATGGTGCTGTATCATATTATGTTATATTACATTGCATTATATGCTTCAAATTTATTATGTTATGTTATCTTATATCGTATTCTATCATAATTGTATTCTATGATGTCATATAATGTCACGTAATACCCAAAATCTAGCACCAAAATCTGCTGGAGGGTTTGTCGCATTATGCCTGGCAGCTACTTGCGAGGGTCCAGTAAGCGCACTTTGCATGGTGGAAGCCGGCTTTGGGTCTTTTTAATTTGCTGGCCAATGCCTGAAATACGGAGCCTTCAAAAACTGGCGTCATGTAAGGTAAGCTATGGTGCCAGGCTCGAGTTGGAGATGGTCGTAGCTTCGAGAAACCAGAATCTGCCGGTGCAATTTCCGCGATGTCGGATGCATCATGCCTATCCCCACATTATACGGTCTGTCCGACTGTCCGACTGACTGCAACGTCTCCCCACCGACTCTCAGCACCAGCCGCGCGGAGCTTGCGTGGGTTCGGCAGACGGAGACGTCACAGGTAAGAATGCTCATGCTCAGACCGAGATGGCCTTGTCTCAACAGTCTACACAACATGCAAACGACATTCGTTGACGTGCATATAGCTGCACATATGCATGTACATTTTATATGTACATACATACATAATCATACATACGTACGCACATACATACATATATGCACACACATGCATACACAAAAACAGATAATCATGCATACACATGTACATACATACATTCGTACGTACATACATACGTACATACATACATACATACATACATACACACACACACATACGTACATACGTACGTACGTACATACATACACGTACGCTGTACATACTGTTTGCAGCGTCTTACATGCTTATCTATATGCATGCTCGTGCACATACTTGTTCACCACCCTTGTTGATCCTGTTGTCGGCCCAGTCAGCCGAGATGCAATCCCACTGGAACTTGCCTCAGAGGTGTCACTTGCTGCTCGATGTCCATGCCTACCTTTGGTGCTAATGCTATGTATTTGCATCATGCGTGCCTTGACTGTGCACAACACACTAACCCTCTCCGACATTCTTGCCGTGGCACCTGTGCGAGAATCTGAACGAGTGGCTGCGTGGCTACTTTTAGAGATTGTAGCCGCTGTTGCCGTTCAGGACAATCACGAGTTTTTACATGATCTTACCACCAGTCGATGCCCGGTTGTGTCAGCCGAGTGCTTGTATCATTTACGGGTAGGCTGGGTTTGATTTCATCAGTGCGCTGCTTTCCTGCGTTTTGGGCTGTGCTTCACCTGGTGAAGCGCACCTTGGCGCTAACGGCAGCACCAGGTGTGAACTATTTACAACCTGGTATTCTTGTCTCATCCTCGGTCGGGCACCAGCCCAAATTCGAGAACTTCACGAAGCTAGCGAGCCCAGCAGGGGCACGCCGGGACCCGGCAGACAGATCGACCTCGCGGTTCTGAAAGGTAGCCCCCGGCTCTCATGGGGCACTTGAAGATTGTCTGTTGATCGACATTCACTGAGTTTGGTAACGGTTCTGATTTCGGGCTTCCATGTAGAGGGCACGGCTTCTGCCGCTGTTTTGAGGGTTCTGGAACCTGTTGGGGGGAGGGAGATCAGGTGCTGAGGAGAATCTTGACTTTGCCTTCGGGCGCCAGGGAGTTCGATGAGTACAAAAGCTACAGCCCTGCCGAGAACTGCGAGAGGGAGGTGATGGATATTGTCATTACCTAAACTCAAAAGAACCGGGGTTCCTTAATATGAATTCCATATATCAGTCCTTAAAAAGGTAGGTTATTTGGGGTTAAGGTACAGCTTACAAAGCTGGGAAGCATAGGCCCAGGCTGAACATTTCACTGCTTAAGAGATGTTCAGCAACACACAGCAACTCCTTAAAGCCAGAAACCCTGCAGCCGTTATGGCCAAGCTCTTGAACGACTCGTGGCGATGCGTTCAAGCTCAATCAGCTTTTCAACACCCTGACCAAATGAACCCCGTGAGCTACATTTGTCGCCACACAGCGAGACTCGGATCGGAACAGGAAATATCAGCCCATCTCAATTCTCGATTCCCCTACAGACCAGTTGCTGTAGGGACCCGGTCCCCATGCTACGCTCAGCTTGCCTGCGTTCACGGACTGCAGTTCGAAGCTGGGGCAGCCAGCGGTGTGCCTTCTTCAAGTCTGCTGTGCGGCACCATGTGTCGCTGCGTCATGATCCCAAATTCAGCAGCTGGGCATCCTCTTCAAGCTCGTTTGGCGGAAGCCTTCTGAAAAGGCTGGCGGGCTGCCGGCCTTCAGGAATGGCTTGGAGGCTGGGCGGCCAGCGAAGCACTGCAGTAGTTCCTCTTGGTTGGTCCCAGATTCGGGCAAGGCCAATGGCATACCTGACACTGGGCTGGCCTTTGCAGATTGGTGTTGCTCTCGATGTCTGTATCAATTTGTTGGGTCTTTTTTTTAGATCTCCTTTCGTCAATGGACGCCCAAGCCCAGGACGATTCCACTGGTTGCTGCATTTGTTGGATGGTTCACTAACTGGGTCAGCGTCCAGATGCTGTTTTATCCAATAGAGTATGTTGGCATCGACCTCTACCGCAAGAAGCATGTTCCCTATGGTCTGATTGGCTGGCAGGGCGTTGTGCCCACAAAGGCTGGGCCGGGATGAGGGATGAGTGGAGCGAGGGAGGGAAAACTAGAAAAGGTCCGTATCCCACTTGTCAGAGGGCAATGCTAGGAAAAGATGCGCAGAGAGCAGTTCGATTGGAAGAAGATAGTTGCTAGCTTTGCAGCAGTGCTTCTGCTCATCATAGTCATGGCATCCCTGAAATTAAAAGAGAGCGTAAGTCGCGCAGTGAGTGCCAGCATTCAGGATTCTGCAAAAATTGGTCATGCAACCAGGCTGCTGCCTTTCCATTCATCACCTCATACCCACCTCAGAGTACGGTACTGCGAACAGCAGAGTATCAGATTCAGCCTCTACGAACCCATTCCATGTGTTTTCATTTGCGATGACAACACAAAGCCGAGCCTAAACCTTTAAACTTCAAACCACCTTGCCAGGAAGCGTTAGAGGCCCTGAAAACAGTCAGCATCTCCAAGCCTCCCAGCAGAGACCATATAATTATATATATATATATATATACACACACACTTCAAGGCTGATGTGATGGCAGCGCGCCTCACAGACATCGTCACTGCCAAGCTGCTGAGCTTGCCAGAGGCATTTTCGCGCCTCGACGCGCCGCACTTCGCCTCTCTGATACTCCCAAGCATCGAGGAGCCATCTTCCACCAATGCCGGAACTCCCTCCTGAATGGTGAGAGGCCACGAAAGTGTCCGGAGAATCCTCGACTGTGGTCCCACAACCTTGCATCAAGAAACCGAGAAGTCCGCGTGTCCGCTTTCAGAACCCGAAACCATAAACCCTAAACCAGGAGTCCATACGCAATGAAGCGCCCAATGGGGCGGCCTGGGCTGTGTTGCTCGGAGAAGTCTCAGCCGCAGTCTTAGCCTGTGTCCGGAACTACTTCTAGTCTTACTGTTATACCATCTTCATCGTCGCACTAAGCCTGGGATTTTCATAGGAAATGCTCTTGATAACATGTCCTCGGGAGATGTTTTGAATCGATTTGCTGTTTTTTTTTTGTGTGGGTCCATGTGAGCCATAGAGACCAGGTTGCTGAAACCGCTCCTGCACTGGGCGCTCTGTCGTGTGGTTCGGGCACTGCAGCGCGACTCGGTTGTTCTTTCGTTAGACATTTTGTTTGGCGCTACGGCACAGCATTTTTTCTCAGAAAGTCTCGAACGAGTCTCAATCAGCCAGGCTCGTCAACTGTCGTCGTTGCCCAAAGCGCCTTGAGTTTTCAATAAAGCCATGGTCTCTAGCCTCAGCACGACTGCAGTTCAGGTGTTTGAGGTTTAGGGCCTGTCCCTACCTTACCGTGACAGCCCAGGAGACATCGCACAGGTTCTGGATCTGGAAGAGGTGGTAACTGAGGCATTCCTGCGCGATGTGCAGGTTCCTGGCCTTTTTGCTGGGCACGGGGAGTAAGCGCAAGGTAACATTGGAGGGTCCTGGCGCTGCTGACGTTTGCTTGTTCTGCTACGCATGTAGCTTGTCTGGTTGAGGATGACCTTTGGCAGGACTTGAACGGCAACAACAACAACATCAGCAATATGACAATGAGCAACATCAGCAACAGCAGCAACATCAACAGCAGCAGCAACAATAGCAGCAGCAGCAGCAGCAGCAGCAGCAGCAGCAGCAGCAGCAGCAGCAGCAGCAGCAGCAACGGAAGTCATACCGGCAACGTCACATGAAATGTAGTTATGCCGCTAAGTTAACAAGCGTTCAATGATGGGAGGCGTGACCATAACCATACAGAGAATCAGTAGGTTAGTCGGCAAGGACAGAGGATGTCCGGAAGAGGCACACGAGCCCAATAGTCCCACCCATGGAAAGTGGTATGAGACATCTATATTTAAGGGAGGATCCTTGTGTTTATGTGGCCTTGGGTTGCCCCTAGGCTCTACGCACGTTTGAGTTCCGGAGGTTCTCGTGGAGCTCTTCCAGAGGGTGGGCCGCCGGGAGTTGGATTTCCTCGTCATCTCAGGTGGGGCAACGAAATTAACACACTGGTAATTACGAAAGCATTGCCATCCGTGGTAGTTGGATGCGTAGTCGTAGAATGAGGTGAACATTTTGTGCTAGCTTTAGAGGTACACTTGTAAGATGGGTCAGAACAGTGCGAGTCGCACGGCCATGATGCCACCAACAACGTTCAGAATTGTCATACTGCTTGCAACTGCAACACGACGACGCCGGACGGCGACGAAGACTACTGGTACCACCTGTCCAGCCATCCACAATGCCAGCCAGCCGCCCACCCGCCCACCCATTTCGCCCGGCCTTTGCCCTGATCCGACAAGCCTCCTAAACCCTAAACCCTCAACCCTAAACCAAGCCCTAGCCCAAAGCCGCTGAGGTCTTTACTTCGGGTTCGTCCTCGGACTCGCTCAGATGTGGATCTGGGCCCATGTGCCGAGGGCGTGGACGTTGCCGGTGGCGGGTGCGGTCGTGGGATACGTCACGAACTGGGTTGCTGTGAAGATGATTCCCGGCATTCCTTTCGGCTTTCATTTTGAGTCTTTTGCAAAACTGCCACATGGGTTGTTTTAGCTGTCCATCTTAGCCGACTTCTGGCATGCTCGGCCCCTTCTGGGTCTAGGGTCGTTTGCTGTGTCCTGCTCGGATGATGTATTTGTCTACCGCGAGGGCCAGCGACCAGATTTGAACAGAAATTGTCAGGTTTGCTAGGTATCCACGTAGGCCAAAAAAGCCTACATGTGTCTGTGAATCGCAACAAGGATTGACATAGGCATGACCTTCGCGCCAGATGTCGCAGTTCTCATGCCCACGGCTGCTCAACCCTATTTGCGCCACATGACTTACAAACCTGTGCCTCCATGCTCTAAACACAAGCTTAACATGGCCCTAGACTCCATGAGCCAGATGCACTGGACCCGAAAGCATAAATCCACGCACTTGTCCTCAGACTTCAAACCTGAACCCCCTGAATCCCACGATTTATGGACAGTCTTCGTCTGGCATGCAAGTAAGTAGTTACATTCCTGTGCGATCACCAGAGCCTTTCAGAACAACTACTGCCCAGCGCAAAGCTGAGGACTAAAAGCTACGTATCCACAACCCATCACCCTGAAATCCAGTGTCTTTGGGAACCCCAGGCCCTCTGAGATCAGCAGAGAAGCTTTAGGCTTGATGCATCTTATTCCTCCGCCTAAACCCTACAAAACAAGCGTTTATCAAATTTCAAACCCTAAACCCCAAACCCTAAACCCTAAACCCTATTTCAGGATTTTCGAGCCAGTGGAGCCGGTCATGGTTGGGCCCTTCCTTCTGCAGGGCATGTTCGAGATGCGTCAGCCAGAGGTCCGGAGGGAGGATTTACGACTCAGGCTTTTAGGGTGTAGGAGTGGGGTTCAGGGTTTAAAGGGTTGTATAGGGTTTAGGAAAGTACCTTCAGGCTTTCAGGGCGTAGGAGTTGGGGTTAAGGGTTTAGGGTGCAGGGAGTAGTTGGGGTGCTTTAGAGGATACCAGCCTCGGGCTTCGATTCTTCGGCTTGTGGATTCAACTTTCGAGTCTTCAGGCGACCTGTGGATTTACCGAGCTTTGGGAGTGGCGGTGGGGACACTGGGCCAGGGGAGCGAAAGACTCTCTCTTTGCAAGACAAGACAGACACCCACATACACATATACACACACACACATATATATATATATATATATAATTGATACCTGTGTGTATATATATATATATGCATGCATGTACGTATGTATGTCTGTACGTATGTATGTATGTATGTATGTATGTATGTATGTATGTATGTCTGTATGTCTGTATGTCTGTATGTCTGTATGTCTGTATGTCTGTATGTACGT